TGGAGCACTGGGTGTTATACACAAACAATGAATCATGGATCACTACATCAAAAACTAATGATGTAATGTATGGTGACTAACATAACATAATAAAATAAAATTAAAAAAAATTATGCTTGTGATTAAATACTGTAGTGTTTCACCCGAAGACTATTATCTAAATATAAACAGAATCACTAGCCTCTTTAGGCTTCAATTTCTAATCTGCAGAATGAAACATCTACCTTAGATGACTCGTAATATTCCATATCTCAACATTTTTTTATTTTATGCTTTTAAGAATTTAACTGCAGCTTTATCTTTACATTCTGCATGTGACAATACCTGGCCAACTCTGAAGCTCTAGTTTCTAGATGGTATGACAATTTGTGCCATCATGTAAATGGCACTTTGAGAATGCAAATGATTTAAAAAATAGTTTTCTGTTAATAAAGAACTTCCACATTTAGGTCACAGACAGGATTTATCAGCCTTGTCTTTTCATGAATCATTTTTTTTTTTAAGACTTCATTTATTTATTTGACAAAGAGAAACAGTGAGAGAGTGAGCACAAGCAAAGGCGGAGTGGGAGAGGGAGAAGAAGGCTCCCCGCTGAGCAGGGAGCCCGACGTGGGGCTCGATCCCAGTACCCTGGGACCATGACCTGAGCCAAAGGCAGACGCTTAACGACTGAGCTACCCAGGCGCCCCTCATGGATCATTTTATGAAAAAAAAAAATGACTGACTGCCATGATATCAGTCTCATACAATTACTCTCTTAAGGTCATGGGCCTATCCTCAGAACATATCTAACTTTAACTGTGAAATATTTACTACCACTTAACTTTAATCTGATAACTGCAACTTCAAAAAAAAAAAAGGTGAACTAAATTAACAATTTTAAACAGTAAAGGGACATACCACCTTTGAAACAACTTTTCAAAAAGTAAAGTCTAAGGACAGGGTTAAGACTCTTTCTCAGTAATCCTTCATAGAAACCAAATTTCAATCTAAACCTGGTAGTACATAAGTCTTAAATGAAATGTCCTTCTGCGATTCATTCTGTATCCTAAGTTGGTATTCAAATGTTACTCAAATCTGAGCTGCAGAAATACTGTAACTTATTTTGGGAGAAAGAGTGTATTAAGTAATAATATTATGTGGGTTTTTAAAAGATAATGCCAATAACTTTAAAATCTAAATTATATTTTTGAACCATATGGTACCTGTGCTTCGTATATAAATTACAGAATATGAGAGAACTAGAACTTGTCTTAGGGTAAAAGATTGCCCAATTCACCCTTACAGTCATGGTTATAAATCAGAACAAAAGGAACTTAGATAACTCTTTCAAATCTATGAATGCTAGAGTGAAAAGAAAACCCTCTGAAATTTGAGTAACATAATGGAGGCAAATGAAAGCTAGTAAATAAAAAAAGGATAGAAAACTTTCAGGATTTCCAATCCCAAGAAGTGTCAGAGAATTTTAAAAAATTAAGTTTAAAAAAATTATATAAATTCATATATTACAGAGCCATGATGAATTAAAAAGGAATATTAAGATTTTTAGGAGTAGATCCAAATCCTCAAAGTGAGGAGAAGGGAGAAGCCTCTTCCCTGTTGTGCCTATGGTCTCTGAGTCAGAGACAGAATGCTGGATCAACCATTAGTCTGAATCCAGGATAGCAATTTTCCTGCTCTTTCGACCTAATGTTACCCAGGTGTTAACATAGAGCTGGAGTCTTTCAAACTTCTTCTACACCCCCACCCCCATGCTACAGTTTCAAAGTTTTAATGGTTTATATAAATTTTTTTTAAAGATTTATTATTATTTTTTTAATTTGACAGAGAGCAAGAGAGGGAACAACACAAGCAGGGGGAGTGGGAGAGGGAGAAGCAGGCTTCCCACTGAGCAGGGAGCCCGGTGCAGGGCTGGATCCCAGGACCCTGGGATCATGACCTGAGCCAAAGGCAGATGCTTAACAACTGAGCCACCCCAGGTGCCCCTGGTTTATATAATTTTTATAAATAAATGTTAGTAAAGATTCTGATCTTTTCTATCTACTTATATGGTCCTTTGAATTCTACCCACAGATTGTCCTTTCTAATTTTTACTGCATTTCCTAGAAAACATTATCACCCTAGAGAGGCAATTCCACTGGGCCATCTTTTTTCTAGGGCCTGATTTTAAAATGATCTGTTAAAAAAAAAAAAATCCTACAGCATAACTCTACTTTCTTTGTTTCTCTACCCTAATTCAGACCTTTTTGTCAAAAATATTTAATGCCATTTATATTCTATTTATTATTACTAATAAAAACTAATTTGCCCCTGTTATAATTTAGAATACTTATATTAATAAAACAACCAATTATTCTGCTTCCTTCCCAAGACACCAAACAAAAAGCATGTTATAAAAACAAGTCATTTAGTATCCTACAAAACCTAAAATAAACCATGATTATTACAATTATCAGCATGTTAGTATTCTACTTAGTTGGTATAATATACACTGAGGTACTGAGTTACTGTTTATATATTTTTAATACATGTTTTTGATTTTGATTCAGAGGCATATTTCTCAGGCATCTTCCCTTTATAATAAACTGTTAAGGAAATGGTATTCTCTCTTTGCTTCCAAATATATTTATCCATTTTAATGATTATAAAAAAGGCAAAGTTCCTCTTACTACAAATCAGTAATTTAAATTTATTTTAAGAAAAAAACAGACAAAAGAGTTACAGTGACTTTTAAAAATCACTACAACAACTGTATAAAAGCTTATTTGTTAAGATTTCTGATGAAGGCTATTTTTGTTCTTGTGGATATTAGGCACAAGTACTTTGATATCAAGTCTTCTTAGTAATCTCAAGTATTTCACAGAAATTCCAGTATTATACCTATGAATTATCTAAGAAGCAGTCAAAACCAGAATTTCACCTATAATTTTATCTAAGTTTTAATCAAAATGGAATGCCAAAACTTCAATTTTTGATATAAAAATAATGAAAAGTTTTCTTGTTCTTTAAAGAAGACCCAGAACTGGAAAGAAGATTTTCTTCCAGTGGAGAAGGGAAAATACTGCATAAACAACAGCATACCACCTTTTGTAAAGTAATTATTAATTTTGGTTTAGAGATTGGCTGAGGAATTTTAGTTTGCAACCTTTAATTCCTCAAATGTAGTTTTTCTTTTTTTTTTTTTTTTTTTTTTAAAGATTTTATTTATTTATTTGAGACAGAGAGAATGAGAGAGACAGA